GACACTATTCCGATTACGGACAGCTATTTAAATCCCCGACCGAAACCTCACCTGATGCTTTGGAATATTAGAGGGTGTTACCTTTTTGGTGAAATAGGCCACCAAGATCTCCGCCCCGGAAAACATGAAGCCCGCCTTCTGATACAGGAGAAGCGCTTGAGCTCCACACAAACATATGCAAGTCCTTGCTACCATCAGTTCCAGTTTCCTTCTTCTTGGCACCTGCACCTGGTCCATTCACGGGGGAGAAGATTCCAGCACTGGTTGGAGCAGGATAAGAGCTTCCACCATTTGATCTCCCTGGATTACCAAACACCCCAACTCCGTTCTCTTCATCAAAACCCAAGTTCCCAAAGTTGGATTGTCTCGGACTCGCATTCGTTATGTTTTTCCCATTCACCATCGAGTAGAAATCAGAATGATTGAAGCTGGACCCTCTTGGAGTTGGATTTCTGGATGATTGAATGGAGTAAATCTCTGCATTTGTCAAGTTCGATGGTCTTGGGGTCAAAGAAAGGCCCGAGTTTGGACCATGTGAGCGTCGAGAAAAGATTTCCGACCTAGAACTAGTGGATTTTCTAACAGTGACATGGAGTTTCCCATCATCTCCTACCTCAGCATCAGTTTGCAATGGCTCTTTCCCATCCAGGGAAATGATCAGAATCAACTTTGAAGGAAATGATAGAGCCTGCAGTGTCTGGGAATTGCTCCGCTATTAGAAGTCTAGCGCCTCTGTACTCAAACAGAAATAGCATCAATGTGTACCAAATTATGCACTGAAGCACAACTATTTGGACCATCAAGCTCCTGAATAGTCTCCATACATTCCCTTCAACAAAGGGATGCCCATGACAAGAGTATTAGGAAGAGTGGAGAGGGAAAACAAGGTGATGGACCATTCAAGGGAACCTCTTGAGCTGGTTCTTGACCATATAGCTAACACTACCAAGACTATGATCTTTTGGAGAGTATCAGCTGCTATGAACCTCAAGTTCATAGCATACGGATTGTTGGTGGAAATGAAATGGAAAGAAAGGAGAGGGACAGCAAATAAAGCCACAAACCGATTAATGCCTGAGCACTGGTCAGGGCTGAAGATTTTCCACCATTTCACTGAGCCATAGGCTAAGATCATGGCCACATAAAGTGGTACAACTGCAGTAAGGACATGGTAGAAGTCTGTGGCGGTGATCATGGTGTATTTCCGGGGAAAAACAGAACAGAAATAGGATCCAGAAGTAAAACCCAGATGAGATTTTTCAAGTAGAATGAAAAAGAAACAAACTTCGTATGATTTGTCTCACTTTTCAAGTGAAAAACAGTAGGGTTTTAACCAGAAGAATTCAGCCCATTATACAGGCAAAGGGATGACAAAGTAAGAGAAGAAGAAAAAGAAAAGTTAAGAACAAAGGTGATAATGGTCGCGGGCTATTGTTTTCACGGTGCCGGAGAGAGAAGGGTTGGGAAAGTGGAAGTGAATGGTTCAAGGGATTGATGGCAGACAAGAACATAAAAGCAGTCACTTTTTTCAATACTTTTATTATAAAATTGGGCTAAATGTTTAATTTAGGTGCTACCTTTTACAGGTTGCTCGGGGTTCAACTTTGAAAAATGCTCGAATAAGTGTCGAGCTTTTTCTACTTGCTCAGGACTGGCTTTTCAAAAATATTTTTCAAAATTATTGTAAAAAAAGTGATACTATTAGGTATATAAATAAATCTAACATTAAGTGAATTGTTCGTAATTTTTTGGTGAGAAATTTATTAATATTTATTTATTTATTAAATGAATGAATATGAATCAGATTTTTTATTTGTTTAATTAAATAAATAAATATAAATAAGAGGTTCGTTCGTTTATTTACGTTCGTAAACATTTAATAATCTATTTGTTTTGTTTGTTATTTTATATTCGTTCATTTATATTCAATTCAATCTCTGAACTTATTTTAATAAATATTAAGAACTAATAAATTTTAACCTTAAAGAATTAATATTTTAAAACTTAAATAATTTAAACTCAAATAAAAAAATACTCAAATTAATTAAAGTCTAAGATTATTTGGAAAGAAAGAACTTTTCTCAAATACAAACCTAATTAACTTTATGTTCATTCGTTTATGTTTATTTACATTCATTTATCATTTTAACAAACAAACATAAACAATATACATTTCTTAATGAAAGAATATGAACAAGAAATTTTGTTCGTTTAGTTGATCGTGTTCGTTCTTTTGTTAGGTTAACGAAAATGTTATTTTATCTACCGAAAATATTAATATCAGGCGCTACTTAAAATGTTATTTTTTACCAGAAATGTTAATATCGGAAATATTTATTTTAGGTAGCGAAATTAACATTTTCGGTAGAAAAAATAACATTTTAGGTATCGCTCTACCGGAAATGTTAAAAAATATTAACATTTCCGGTAGCATATTTCCTTAGCCTTATAGCCTTATATTAGGTTGACGTATAATAAAACTATACATTAGATATCTTTAATTTTAATAACTTAAATAATTCACCCAAATTAATACCTATCTTTATCTAATAAGATTGGCTTAATACATTTTTTAGTGCCTAAACTATACCTCAAATAACATGGTGCCTAAAGTTTTTTTTTACTAAAAATATGTAGGGGTGTGCAAATCTGGGTACCCGGAACATCCGGGTCGGTGATTTCTCGGCCCGTGTCCCGACCTAGATGTTCCGGGTACCTGTATGTCGGGTACCCGTATGTCGGATACCCGGATACCCAATTTTTTTTTCAATTTTTTTGATAAATAAATAATTTATACTTGTACATTTACAAAAAGTACATGAGATTCATAACATTTAGATAGCATCCTCGTAAAACAATACAAAATCCAACAGAAAGTGTTGAACTGCTACCATAGTTTGAGTGCTCAAGGAACAAACATTTACAAAGTTTTGTTGCCTACGATGTGTTTGCATCAGTAGCATGCATCCCTTGCATACCATGAAAGATATACCCAGTTTCCCTAGAAAAGTAGAAATCCAAGGATTCATTTATACATTTCGATTTTCGAGATAAAAGCTACACTATCCCAGCTGATGTGGAATCAATTTAATCAATCTTTATCTACCCAGCGCATGGCCACCAGTAGCAGCAAAGGTGGAAGACTGAAAGGCTTATAAGTTAGAACTAGGGGTGTTGACTCAACACTGTTGAGTGGATTGTTACCTTGTTGAGTGGTTGGAGTTGGCCAGAGCATGGAAGGCTTCCACGGAAGTTGAGGTTGGAGCTTGACGATTAACCTGCAGCGTGGCCGTTTTGAGCTCTGGAGCGTGGCTGCCTGTTAGGGATTTAGATGGTTCGAGTATGGAGCGTGCAAACTAAATCATTTAGTTACTATATTAAAAAAAACTTAACTGGGTACTCGGGTAACCGGGTACCCGAAAAAAATCAATTTTTGCGACTCGGGCCCGACCCGGAAAGTGTCAGCGGGTTGAGTCAACCGGGGTTGGGTAATTTTGCACACCCCTAAAAAATATGCCTAAAGTTTTCTCCATTACACTTTTAGGTGCCTATCGTTACATTTTTATTTTTTTAATAATAAAATTTTTATTTTTAGAAAAAAAATAAAAAGAAAACAAACCCCGCCCTCCCCTTCGCGTCGTTCCTCTCCCTCCCATCCTTCCACCTCCGACGGTGAAGGGACACCACTGGTTGGGTTTTTTTTGGAGCAGGATAAGAAACTCAACAGTGGCGACCATATAACGGACGGACGACTGTAGTCGTCGAAATCGTCGAAAGACAACGAAAAACCTAAAAATCTGACTACCTTTCACAACGTTTTTCACAACAATCGACACAATTTCATGGTGGGTGAGAAACTGGGTTTTGGTCGCGATGTCGAGACAGTTATGTAATAACTACCACAGACTGACAGTGGTCGATCGATGATAGAATATGTAAAATTTAGGGGTTTTTTTTTAAAATTATAATATTAAGTTTTCTTAAATAAAATAAATTTTAAAATTTTATCTGCGAGACATGTCAAATAACAACCAAATTTAACGATTATTACAATTCTGACACCTAAAAGTATAACGTTTAAAACATTTAACAACTATTTTTAAAGAAAAATTCTTTAGGTATCAAATTATATTTTGAAATATAGTTTAATCATGTCTTAATGCAAAAATAAGTGTTTAAACAATGCCTCAGAAAATGTTTTGGTGGCTAAAGAATTTTTTGTTAAAAATATATGTCTAACGTTTTCTCGGTTACAGTTTAGGTGTCTATCATTATATCTTTTAATTTTTAAAAATTTTAATAATAAAAATATTATTTAAAAAACTTAATTTATTTATAAAAAATTAAAACTTTTAATAAAATTATAAAAAATTCTAAAAATTAAAATATCTCATTTCAATCATCATTAGCAACCTTCGTCGGTCATCTCTGGCTACCATCGTCGCCGAACACTTGGTTTTGATCGGAATTGTATGGTGGTTCGAATGGTATTGGCGATGTAGCTTACAGACATCGAAATCGACAAAAATAAGTGATGAAATCTTAAAATCCAACGAACCTTTGAACGTTTCTCTATGAAAAACGGTGACACTTTACGATGAAATATCAACGTGAGTTTAATCGAAGTCGATGTTGATGCCGATGAAGGTCACGATGACTGTCACGGATGGCCAATCAACGACCATAAAAAAGGAAAAAGAAAACGAGGTGAGGAAAAGAGTACGCAAACTGTACCCGTTGGGGTTTTTAATAAATTTTTTTTAATTTTTTAAATAAATTCTCAAAATTACTAAAATACGACATATCACGTAATAAATTTTTTAACAGCTATTACAATTAAAACACATAAAAATCTCCGATAAAATTGTTAGCGCTAAATTTTGTATTAACCCTTTAATCATTTATCAAGCCTTTAAAATTTGAACTTGAAAGACTACAAAACCACTATAAAGACAACACACATGGTTGCAGTGGCAGGGGTCAATTTCAGAGGTCTCCAGCAAGCCGACACAAGTATAAATGTTATTTTCAGGCTAAGCAAATAGCCTAAGCTACCGACAGCCGTGCCCATCCTAAAGACAGCTGTCAGACCTTTACGATCTGCCAGTCTTTTCAGGTCACAACCATCAAATGTCTTCATTTTCACAGACAACAAGCCAGTACTTTCCAGTTCATATTGTAGAAAGAAAATGAAATACAAACATGGCTCATTTTCTTGACCAAAAAGAAAACCAACAAAAGCAAAGACATTTCTGTGTTTGTTCTTTTCTCTAATCACTAATCGGTTCATAGAATCATATGTTAGAACATTCAAACATCTTGCCATCAGATCAAAATGGATTAGTCTTCTTTCCCTTTAGCAGGCTTCAAATTCCCAGCAGGATGTAGTAAACAAGCGTTATCGGAAGGGCAATCAGCATTCCAAATATGACCCTGAAACATATTTATCAAACAAACAAATGATTTCAGCTTCACATCATCAACTTTAACCATCATTATCAATGGTGACATAATGAAAATGTTTATGATATAACGCACCCTGTGCTCAATATATCAGGATGAACACTGTATTCCTTTGCGAAGACGAAAGGGACAATCCCTTGTGGTAGAAAACCATTAAATCAGAATATACTGTTGGAAATAAAACACTCACACAAACAACTTTTATTGAAACTCAAACAAATATTACAAGAGTACTCTCACTCAAAAACAAGAACTACAACTCACTCTTATAAGACTTTGCTTCTTCACTCACTTAGAAGCTCTTAATTTTTCTTGATGCTTAAAACTAAAATGGGAAGGGGTATTTATACTACTCAAGAACAATCCTACACCACACAAATAAACTAATTTAAACCATTACAAATTCAACAAATATCTAACTCTCACCTAACTAAATTGATGTAAGCAATGACATCATTAATTAATGATGTAAGCAATGACATCTTTAATTAAATGATGTAAGTAATGACATCAATTTAGTTTGGGTTTGGGTTTAGGCTCCCATAATGGATCAAGTTTATGATCCAACACCCTCCCTTAAACTTGATCTCGTGACCCCTAGTAGGTTCCTTAATCTTAAGAAGTCTTCGCTGGTCAGTGGCTTGGTAAAAATATCAGCAACTTGATCTTGTGACTTCACATATTCAACTTCCACATCTTTTCTTGCAACACACTCCCTTATATAGGTAGCGAATATCAATGTGCTTGCTTCGATCATGGAATACTGGATTCTTTGCTAAGGCAATGGCTGACTTGTTGTCGACACAAACCTTGGTAGGCTCTTCTTGTATCAAACCAATCTCCTTCAATAGATTTCTAAGCCAAATTGCATGACAAACACATGAGGTAGCAGCAACATATTCCGCTTCACAAGTGGATAATGTGACAATCGGTTGTTTCTTTGACATCCATGTGAATGCAATATCTCCCATGAAAAATACGAATCCAGTAGTGCTCCTTCGATTATCTATGTCTCCACCCCAATCACTGTCGCTATATCCAACAAGCTTGTAATCATTAGAAACTGAATAGAACAAGCCAAAGTCAATTGTACCTTTCAGATAGCGAAGAATTCTCTTTGCGGCTTTAAAATGGGTGGTTGTTGGGGATTCCATGTAGCGACTAACCAATCCAACTGCGTGAAGAATATCGGGTCTCGTGCAAGTTAGATAGCGTAGACTTCCTACCAAACTTTTGAAGAATGTTGGATCTACACTTTCGCCTTCTTCATGTTTGGTCATCTTGATCCCGTATTCTGCCGGTGTGCTTATTGGCTTACAGTTCTCCATCTTGAACTTCTTCAGTATCTCCTTTGCATAGCTTTCCTGTGAAATGAAAATTCCATCATTTTGTTGCTTAACTTCAATGCCAAGGTAGTACGCCATGAGCCCCATGTCTGTCATCTCGAATTCTTTCATCATCACATCCTTGAATTCATTAAACATGCTTGGGTTGCTTCCAGTGAAGATCAAATCGTCCACGTAGAGGCACACGATCAAAATATCTTCATCTTTGATCTTGATATATAGAGCATGCTCGTAGGGACATTTGTTGAAGCCATTCTCTTGGAAGTACTTGTCGATTCGGCTATTCCATGCCCTTGGTGCTTGTTTTAGCCCGTAAAGAGCCTTCTTCAACTTCAACACCTTGTCTTCATGCCCTTTGACTTCATAGCCTGATGGTTGCTGAATGTAAAGTTCCTCTTCAAGAACTCCATTTAGGAAGGCGGACTTTACATCCATCTGTTGTATCTTCCACTTGTTTTGAGCTGCCAAAGAAATGATTAGTCTGATAGTCTCCAATCGAGCAACAGGAGCAAATACCTCATCTATCATGACAAGTAGACTGCACACGATACTGCTTCCGCCCAAAATTCTTTGGGTAGTTTCTTGCTTTTGAGCATGCTTCGTGCCATGTCGAGGATTGTTCTATTCTTTCTTTCTGCCACACCATTTTGCTGGGGGGATCTAGGAACTGTCATTGGTCGACGAATTCCATTTGCTTCACAGAACTCTTGAAACTCCCTGGAAGTAAATTCTCCACCTCGATCGGATCTCATGGCTTTGATATTTCTACCGCTTTCTTTCTCCACTGCTGCTTTGAACTTCTTGAAGACTTCAAAAACTTCTGACTTCTGTTTCAAGAAATATACCCAGGTTTTTCTTGAAAAATCATCAATGAAGAGAAGAAAATAGTTATTGTTACCGAGAGAGCTTGGCTTGATCGGTCCACACACATCGGTATGGATGAGCTCAAGTGGCTTCTTAGCTCTTGTCTCTGACTCCTTTGGAAAGCTTTTCCTGAATTGTTTCCCGACTAGACACCCTTCACAGAGTTGGTCAGGATGGTTGATGTGAGGTAGTCCTTTCACCATCTCCTTCTTAGATAATATCTCTAGACCTCCAAAATTGAGATGCCCAAATCGAAGATGCCAAAGCCATGATGCATCTTTGTAGCAAGCTTTCAGGCACTTTGCAACATCATTTTGTATGTTGATCAAGAACATTCTATTCTTTGACATCGGCACTTTAGCAATGAAGTTATTCTTATCATCTTTTATAGAAAGATTATAATTATTCATATGAATATCATAACCTTTCTCTACCAGTTGCCCTAAACTTAAAATGTTACTTTTCATATTGGGCACATAGTAGACATTTGAAATAAATTGATGTCTCCCATCTTTCAAACGGATAAGAATGTTACCTCTCCCTTTCACTGCTATTGTGGAATCATCTCCAAACGAAACATTTCCACTTACTGACTCGTCTAGCTCCACAAACATGTCTTTCCTTCCACACATGTGATTGCTTGCACCACTGTCAAGATACCAGGAATTTGCTTGGACACCATCAGTTTCCTTTCGTGCTAGAAGAAGAGTTTCTTTGCCATCTTCTTTTCCTCCACGTAATTGGCCTTCTCCTCAATTTTGTTGTTGGGAGCTCTACATTCTGAAGCATAATGCCCAAATTTTTGACAATTATAACATCGAATTTGAGATTGTCATACTTTGAGTTTGGATTAATTCTTCCACGGCCTCGTGTTGAGCTTTCTCCTTTCTCATAGTTGTTGGAATTGTTATTGTTGTAATTCCAGCCTCGTCCACGACCTCGACTTCCACCTCGTCCATGGCCTCTACCTCTGCCTTGGCCACGTTGGTTTCTATCATTGCGTTGGCTCTCATGCATATCCTTGAGTTGCAGCTTGAGGAGTTGCTCAGTAAACTCATGCTTCTTTTTATGCTTCTCTTCGTATGCTTGCAATGATCCTTGGAGCTGTTCGATCTTCATTTCTTCCAAGTCTTTAGTTTCTTCAATCGTCACGACGATGTGCTCAAATTTGGGATCCAACGAACGGAGTATCTTCTCTATTATCCTCACATCGTCTAACTTTTCACCATTTCTTTTTAATTGATTAGAAACAGCTACTACTCTTGAGAAATAATCTGAAATAGACTCAGATGCTTTCATGTTTAAGGATTCGAATTCACCTCTTAATGTTTGGAGACGAACCTTCTTCACTTGCTCGGATCCTTTGTAAGAGGTTTGCAGCTTCTCCCACGCTTCCTTGCTAGAGCTTGCACTTGAAATCTTTTCAAAACCATCATCATCTAATGCTTGATAGATGAGGTAGAGAGCCTTCTTGTCTCTCTTTCTTGAATCCTTCAAAGTTGTCTTTTGATCTGGTGTAAGAGTAGCAAAAATATCATCATCCGCAGCTCATTATAGCCTTTCTCTATGATATCCCACACATCTTGTGATCCAAGAAGTGCCTTCATTTTGATACTCCAATTGTCGTAGTTGTTGTTGTTGAGTGTCGGAACTTGGAATGGTGCCATACCATTTGCCATATCTCTCAATATAATGAGATTTTGTAAAATCCGATTGCACGGATGAATCCGAAACGATGAAAAAAAAACTTTGGAGGGACTTGGACAACTCGTCAAGGGCTCCAACTCGGCTGAATCGGCTCAACTCGGTGAGTCAACTCGATTTTCTGGCAGCAGTCTTCCGGCGGTGCGTGGCGGTGCGTCAGAACTCAGATTGAGAAAATTCTGGCGGCGTCGTATTCCTCTCGTCGAGACCTTCGATCTTTCCAACTCTCTCTGATGCCACTTTGTTGGAAATAAAACACTCACACAAACAACTTTTATTGAAACTCAAACAAATATTACAAGAGTACTCTCACTCAAAAACAAGAACTACAACTCACTCTTATAAGACTTTGCTTCTTCACTCACTTAGAAGCTCTTAATTTTTCTTGATGCTTAAAACTAAAATGGGAAGGGGTATTTATACTACTCAAGAACAATCCTACACCACACAAATAAACTAATTTAAACCATTACAAATTCAACAAATATCTAACTCTCACCTAACTAAATTGATGTAAGCAATGACATCATTAATTAAATGATGTAAGCAATGACATCTTTAATTAAATGATGTAAGTAATGACATCAATTTAGTTTGGGTTTGGGTTTAGGCTCCCATAATGGATCAAGTTTATGATCCAACATATACTTGGGGTACAAAACCAACTTGTGTAAATACATGGGACTGGTATTTATTACCTGCACAATCGCGATATGCAATAGAGCACCTCTCAACCCTACAACAATTGAGGCGGCAGCCATGACCGCTGGACCAGTTAGGAACCGAACCGCCATGGAAAAGGCAGCAATTGTGTTTCCACAGGCAATAATTCTTGGCTGAAGTGCCATGAATAAACCTACAACAAAAGGATTTAGCAGAAAAAAACCTTGATAAAGTTGATAATAGACTACTTACCGAGACTGAACATCGCCATTCCAAGACCTGCGTCCGAAAGAATCGATATCGATCGAGCAATTATAGCAGGCATCTGAACATCCCACCTGCACAAGTATAATTCCACTGAAAATTAGTATAAATGGAGAAGAAAGTTACACTAACAAAGTACACATCTATGAATAGTTTTTAGCACACCTGAAGGAAACAAGAGACCAGGTGAGGCCAATCAGACTGGAATAAGTGTTGGGATTTCGGATTAGTTTTCGCCAAACCATGATGAGGATGAGTCTGGTCATAACACTAGCGGGTGGCATAGCAGCTGTGCTTGTTTCAGCATGAGCACCAGCCTTCGGATTGAGTTCAGTTGTGGAGCTTGAACCGAGCTTGGAAAGCACTGGTCCTTCATGCTCAACTCCGTTCGTTATCGGCTTATTACCGAAGCTAAATTCATCTCTACCATAATCATCATAACCTGAATGCCATAAAAGAAACAACAAGAAAACCACATAAATTTGCTAGTAGAACAAAAGAAAAAGACATGAAGACAGAATTTAGAGTGATGACAAATATGAACCAAAGAAAAGAGAGCAACAAATAGCAACCAAACCCCACTTGATCCACAAGTGGACAAAGCAATCACCAAATAAACACTCAATCAACTAGACAAATACAGTTATCCCAATAATCAAAGAATTCCAATAAGACAAAAGTTGCAGTTCATCAGCGTCCAATACTATAAAACCAATACTATAAAACCACGTTGGAAATGAAAACCAAGGATCATCATTAGCAAATAATCTTGGAGTTTAGTGTTGGCAACTGCCAAATCATAATGAAAACATGAAGAAATATCATATGATCACGTTTCTGCTGTGTTGCAGTCGTCATAACTGTTATATATCAGACACTATTCCGATTACGGACAGCTATTTAAATCCCCGACCGAAACCTCACCTGATGCTTTGGAATATTAGAGGGTGTTACCTTTTTGGTGAAATAGGCCACCAAGATCTCCGCCCCGGAAAACATGAAGCCCGCCTTCTGATACAGGAGAAGCGCTTGAGCTCCACACAAACATATGCAAGTCCTTGCTACCATCAGTTCCAGTTTCCTTCTTCTTGGCACCTGCACCTGGTCCATTCACGGGGGAGAAGATTCCAGCACTGGTTGGAGCAGGATAAGAGCTTCCACCATTTGATCTCCCTGGATTACCAAACACCCCAACTCCGTTCTCTTCATCAAAACCCAAGTTCCCAAAGTTGGATTGTCTCGGACTCGCATTCGTTATGTTTTTCCCATTCACCATCGAGTAGAAATCAGAATGATTGAAGCTGGACCCTCTTGGAGTTGGATTTCTGGATGATTGAATGGAGTAAATCTCTGCATTTGTCAAGTTCGATGGTCTTGGGGTCAAAGAAAGGCCCGAGTTTGGACCATGTGAGCGTCGAGAAAAGATTTCCGACCTAGAACTAGTGGATTTTCTAACAGTGACATGGAGTTTCCCATCATCTCCTACCTCAGCATCAGTTTGCAATGGCTCTTTCCCATCCAGGGAAATGATATCAGAATCAACTTTGAAGGAAATGATAGAGCCTGCAGTGTCTGGGAATTGCTCCGCTATTAGAAGTCTAGCGCCTCTGTACTCAAACAGAAATAGCATCAATGTGTACCAAATTATGCACTGAAGCACAACTATTTGGACCATCAAGCTCCCTGAATAGTCTCCATACATTCCCTTCAACAAAGGGATGCCCATGACAAGAGTATTAGGAAGAGTGGAGAGGGAAAACAAGGTGATGGACCATTCAAGGGAACCTCTTGAGCTGGTTCTTGACCATATAGCTAACACTACCAAGACTATGATCTTTTGGAGAGTATCAGCTGCTATGAACCTCAAGTTCATAGCATACGGATTGTTGGTGGAAATGAAATGGAAAGAAAGGAGAGGGACAGCAAATAAAGCCACAAACCGATTAATGCCTGAGCACTGGTCAGGGCTGAAGATTTTCCACCATTTCACTGAGCCATAGGCTAAGATCATGGCCACATAAAGTGGTACAACTGCAGTAAGGACATGGTAGAAGTCTGTGGCGGTGATCATGGTGTATTTCCGGGGAAAAACAGAACAGAAATAGGATCCAGAAGTAAAACCCAGATGAGATTTTTCAAGTAGAATGAAAAAGAAACAAACTTCGTATGATTTGTCTCACTTTTCAAGTGAAAAACAGTAGGGTTTTAACCAGAAGAATTCAGCCCATTATACAGGCAAAGGGATGACAAAGTAAGAGAAGAAGAAAAAGAAAAGTTAAGAACAAAGGTGATAATGGTCGCGGGCTATTGTTTTCACGGTGCCGGAGAGAGAGAAGGGTTGGAGAAAGTGGGAAGTGAATGGTTTAAAGGGATTGATGGCAGACAAGAACATAAAAGCAGTCACTTTTTTCAATACTTTTATTATAAAATTGGGCTAAATGTTTAATTTAGGTGCTACCTTTTACAGGTTGCTCGGGGTTCAACTTTGAAAAATGCTCGAATAAGTGTCGAGCTTTTTCTACTTGCTCAGGACTGGCTTTTCAAAAATATTTTTCAAAATTATTGTAAAAAAAGTGATACTATTAGGTATATAAATAAATCTAACATTAAGTGAATTGTTCGTAATTTTTTGGTGAGAAATTTATTAATATTTATTTATTTATTAAATGAATGAATATGAATCAAATTTTTTATTTGTTTAATTAAATAAATAAATATAAATAAGAGGTTCGTTCGTTTATTTACGTTCGTAAACATTTAATAATCTATTTGTTTTGTTTGTTATTTTATATTCGTTCATTTATATTCAATTCAATCTCTGAACTTATTTTAATAAATATTAAGAACTAATAAATTTTAACCTTAAAGAATTAATATTTTAAAACTTAAATAATTTAAACTCAAATAAAAAAATACTCAAATTAATTAAAGTCTAAGATTATTTGGAAAGAAAGAACTTTTCTCAAATACAAACCTAATTAACTTTATATTCATTCGTTTATGTTTATTTACATTCATTTATCATTTTAACAAACAAACATAAACAATATACATTTCTTAATGAAAGAATATGAACAAGAAATTTTGTTCGTTTAGTTGATCGTGTTTGTTCTTTTGTTAGGTTAAAGTTAAACGAATGAGCATAAATATATCATCGTTCGTGCTTGTTTAGTTCGTTTCAAACTTCATATCATGTATTAAATATGTTAATTACAATTGTTTAATATTATTAATAAAAGTTATTATTAAAATTAAAGTATATATAATAGATGTAATATTAAGTAGTAAAAAATAATTCTAATAATATTTTAATATTTAAAAAATAAAATAAATTTTTTAATAGTCTCAAGTTATTTCAATATAATATATGTTCAAAAATTTTCTTAATTATTAATAATTTATATCTATTACATATATAATTGTTTAAATTCAAAACTTTTAACGAGAATAATATTTACTTTTAATACTTGAACCAATTAAGAATCAAAGTTAGAAGCTAATTTAAATGACATTCTAATCGATGTACAACGTTATATGATTATTAAATGGATAGATAACAGATTTGATCACTTTCATTTGAATTATGTAAACTTATGATTATTAGATTCAAAAGATATAATATATAATCACTTTTATTTTATTTTAATTAGGATATGATCAATAAAACGTTAACCTTCAGTTACTTTAATGATATGACACGTTAGTAAAAAGATTAATTTTTTACTTAAATTCTTGAACTTTAGATAAATTACTAAACATAAAATTTTTTATAAATTTAAAATAATTTAAGGGTAAAATATCAATTTACCTTTTTTTTTTTTTTCATATGTTATCTTCCCCAAACCTATCTTCTCCGCCGCTTCCCCTACTTCAAACCATCTCTCGTGAGCCCCTCTCGAAACCTCCACCAAATGACAGGAAGATGAGCAACGGAGTTCCTTTCATGGCACCATTCGACGCCGTCTCTTCTCTTTCGACCTTATGCGAAAACAGAGGTAAAAATAGAGTACTTACAATCCACCAATCATAACAGCAAACATAGTGGCATTGACAAGTCCTCCATTGGTGTAATGATGACTAACCAGATAACCTCCGTACCAAAGAAGAAGAGCATAACCATAAAAGACAACAAAGTAAGTCGCCTCCAATCCCATTCCCTTTGCGAATCCAGTTTTGTAACCGAGTTTTTGAGCAACCTTCCACGCCGAAGAGTAGGCTTGTAATGCTCTTGACTCGCCAACAAAAGTCATAACAACCCGAATTTGAACCACCGTCTGCGATTAGCAAATACCCAGATGAGAAGGGAAATCTAGGAATGAAATGATGAAAACTCAAAATTTGCACCCCTTTTTTTTACCTATTCTACAATATTTTCCCCTTGAGATAAAGCTTCTTGGCTTTTAGCAGAGAGCTTGGCTAGGTATGGATTGCTCCAATCACAGAATGAGAGGAACCACTGTAAGTGTGACCAAAGCCAATTGACATACTGCAGCAAAACCCACCAAAAAACTAGAAGAAGATAACTTTGTTTTTCTCAGTGAATTTAATTGACCTGCCCATGAAGATGCCCAAATTGCAGCACCCACCACAAGGAAGTAAAATGCATACTACACATCGGTCACTAGTAGGGCCGGCAATACTCATAGATGAGGCCCACCTGACCACTCGACTCAATTAAATGGACTAAAACATGAGTTTAATCCATTGAAGTGGGTGGTAGATAGAGTGGGTGATGAATTTGGGTGAATTTTTTTTAACCTATCCTCATTCATCCATTAATATAATATTAATTTTAAAAATAATAATTATTTTAAAGACTTTTTTAATTAAAATCCTAATTTTTTTTCATTTTCTCATTTCAACGCCATTTTTTATATTATTTTCACACTTTCTCCAATAATTTCAATTAGAAATTTAACCATAATTTTTTTTTACTTTTTTGATTTTTTTTATTTGATTTAAATTTTAATATTGTTTTCTTTCTCTTAAATTTTCTTATATAATGTTTGATTTTTTTTCAACTTTCATATCTCAATCGTTCTCAACTTCTTTTTAATTTTCTCACCATTTCTCCCATTTCAGCTCATAACCTCACCAAGGTATGTAAAATACTCTATTTTCATTTTGTATTTTGTTATTTTTTAAATGCTAATTTTTCGTTCCTGAATATGGTGTATTTCGTTTTTATTTTGCTATTTTCATTTTTTATTTTCAACTTAAAATCACAATTGTATTTTGTCTCTAATTTCTTTTGACTGCATTTGATTTTTTAGATTTTGATTTTTGAAAGTTTTTTATTTCTTAATTAATTAAATTCATTTTTGCTTATATTCGTGGTAAATGTTTTGTTTGAAAATTTGGTTTATTTGTTAGTATTAGGCTTTATTTTTTAAATTGTTGTTATGTCTTTTAAAATGGGTTAAATGTTTTTACTTGTTTTCTTTCTTTCTTCCTTTTTTTGTTGAAGAGGGCGAGAAATAATAGTACAATAATAAAAAAGTTACGTTCTATTATAGTTTGTTGATTAATGAAAATTGATTTGTTTTGATACTTTAAAAATTGATATTGTAACACCCCAAGACAGATATGGGTGACCCGATCCGATCTGAGGTGTCACATTAGGGCCACCAGAGCGACACACCATAAAAATCTCAGAAAATTTAAAACTTTTATTAAAACATATAAACTCATAAAATGATTTATCAGTATTCAGAAATAAAACAGGTTTTCAGACTCAAATATAAAACAAAATAAAATCTACATGCCTCCTAATCACATGTACCATACTCTGCAAGCAAAGCCGGAAGAACTCCCTTACTGATGTTGATAGATGCACTGGTACGATTATTTCAACCTGAAAAGGTGAGTAACAGAGTGAGCTTTTGGGAAGCTCAGTAACACAATACTACCAGTTGATGCTACAAGACATGCATATAAATGGAAAGCCATATAATTTCCTTATTGAATCTGACGTATACAGGTTTTCGGGATAATCTGGGGTTCTACTGGTAGTTCATCAAGTAAAAGCCATAAAGATCTTAGTTCATAGGAAGCATTCATAATATCACATTTTCAGGAGATTGAATAGGATGTCTAGTGTGTTCCAATCAAAACTAGTGAAAAGATATAAATCTTTTAAAATCATAGCGGAACCCTCGAACCAAACTCCATTATGCATGTTGAAAACATTTTGATATTTCGATATAACAAATTAAGTTAAATGAATTTTAAGATTTTCCAAATGATTTTCTAAGTATATTCGATATAACTATTCGAATATCAAAACAATACTCCAAATCTTTCAAAAATCACTTTTAATCCTTACTCAAGTGTAAAATTAAGTTTTAATCTTAAAACAATTTCAAAATAATTTTACAAAGTATTTTGAACCATTTCAAAGCCAAAAATTCCAGATTGCTCAGAGGGAACCGATTCCCCCCCAAGGGGTACCGATTCCCCCCTTGTATAACAGTCGAAATATTTAAATTTTACACTTAGGGAACTGATTCCCCATAGGGGGTACCGATTCCCCCACGCTCCAAGCTGTTTTATTAATTGTTTTCACACTAAAACGGCTATATGATCTTCACCAATCATCCCCAACGTTCAGAAGTGATTCAAGGTGTATTTAAACAAGTTCTGAAGCCTTTGATCAACAAGAAATCATAGAGAAACAAGAGAGAAAGCATCAAACACCAAGTGTGTGCAAATCAAGCCAATTTTCCTTTCAATATTCATTTTGCTTTCAAAGAACACCATTTGTGCTCATTTTTAATTATTTGTGAGTGTTCTTTTCTTGTTCTAGAATTGTGCAAACATCTTACCTTGTGAGGTTTTCCTTGTAAGTTTGCAAATTTGTGTATTTCTCTTTGAAAAAGAGTGTGCTCAAGAATTTGGGGTATAATTCTTGAGGGAGCTGTAAGGTTACTCTTTGTCCTCAAAAGAAAGAACAAAATAGTGAATTTGTTGGAAAATCCTTAGTGTGGATAGCTAAGGTAGTGGACGTAGACTTTGGTTGATAAAGTTGAACCACTCTAAATCGCTGTGCAATTACTTTCAATTTTCTGCAAAAGCTTACACCAAAATTTTAATTGCCAATTCACCCCATCTTGGCCGATTTCATCAATCGATTAACTCAACAATTGGCATCAGATCCTAACTCATTTGAAGGTTTAATCGCCTCTTGAGTCGATTCGGGAAGAGTTATATCGATAATCAAAGTCATCAATGGCCTCCGCTTCAAACTTTGACTCCGGTCTCGATTCGATGCCCGTCAACAAGCCTCCTTTCTTCAATGGAGCTAACTATGCCTATTGGAAGAATAGAATGATGTAATTCATTCAAGCAAGTGACATGGGAGAATGGAATGTCGTAGTAGAAGGATACATCAAGCCTCTCACTCATCCAAGATTGTGGAGTGAAGGAGAGACAAA